CCAGCGTCTATCATGGCCCTTCATTAATTTCGTGAGTCGTGAAATCTACCTCATACCTAAGCCATAATTACCTTGGGCTTATAGCTCTTGTGCGACGTATTTCATGGAAATTGGAAGGAGTTCGACGTTGTTCGACCTAATGGCTGTGGTACGACACATTTGAGTGTGTAAATAGCCCAGACACAATACGGCCTTAAACTCAACTGATGTCCTCGTTAGCTGTTAGGGGTTGGACCCACCACTTATCCATGTAAGCGCGGGACCCACCACTTGTCCATGTAAGCGCGGGACCCACCTCTTGCAGCTAGAAGAGATGAGCGCCCGTGCCTGTCCACCTGCCGCCGCCCATTGCTTCCCCTTTCCCCAATCTTTCTCTTCTCCGACGACCTAGCGTAGATGTCTACCTCCTCCGCCACGCACTCAAAATGGCGACAGTATGGTCCAGTGCCACTCACGTTCAGAACCTCTTAAACTATGGGTCAGTAAGACTAATGATAATGGTAATCTTGGGCGCGAATTTGTGAAATGCTTGAGCAAAGCAATTATAGTAAGGGATGGCAAGGTTAGATCTAAGTTCTTAGCCCGTTATTTCGCTGCAGTTAGCCCATTCGTTCTAGCTGCGCAGGACCCACCTCTCGCAGCTAGAAGAGATGAGCACCCATGCCCGTCCACCCGCCGCTGCCCATTGCTTCCCCTTTCCCCAGTCTTTCTCTTCTCCGGCGACCTAGTGTAGATGTCTATCTCCTCCGCCACACACTCAAAATGGTGACAGTATGGTCCAGTGCCGCTCACAAGGTGCCCTGACTGCCCACGTCCAGAGCCTCCTAAACTATGGGTCAGTAAGACTAATGAGAATGGCAATCTTGGGCGTGAATTTGTGAAATGCTTGAGCAAAACAATTACAGTAAGGGATGGCAAGGTTAGATCTAAGTTCTTAGCCCGTTCTTTCGCTGCAGTTTGCTCTGATTTCTCCATATTTCGTTTTTTATCATCGAATTTGGGATTTAGGGTTTATGTTGTTGTTTTCAGATCATAAAGAAATGTACCCATTTCGAGTGGATACATTGAATCGAGCGGGGCCACAACCTGCGAGCTCAATTTGGGTGGGGTGCCGCCGATTGCCGTGGAGAATTTGGGGAGCTCGGACGGGCGAGGGGCGGGCAGAGTCCTACCGATGGCGAGGCATGCACAATGCTGAACTGCGCACGGAGTCCGAACTAGCCGCAGAACTAGAAAGATCAAATGTGATCTCTGCACCATGCCAAAAATTATTCGGTGTTCATGCCCCTATTTTTGTTCTTCAGTTAACAGAGTGCACATCAAATTCAGTTTCTAGTAAAAAAATCCGGGCTGCCAAATAGATGTTTGGCCGTGAGAAAATAACTAGGCCCAAAGAGAAACCAGCCCACCCGCGTAGGGGCACTAGCCCTTTTTTATAGCATAGAGGCACCCATGTTTAGTGAAAAATGCTTCGACTAAAACCTCTAACTAAATGTTGCTTCGGCAAATAAACCTCTAACAAAGATATACTTGTTTGCTTGTTTTCATTTTGGCCAAACTTTTGTTCATGGAGGATTGTGAGAAAACACAGGCCCAAAAAGAAAACAAGCCCACCCGCTTGGTGCACCCATGTTGCTTCGACAAAAA